GGATAAAAAGCTGTGTGGCGCTGATCAACAGTAAACATTTGGATGAATAACTCGGATACCGAACGTTTCGGTCACTCGTTCGCTACGTCATCGTAGCAGCAAGCACGACGCCCGTTTCTCTCAACAATGCTTAAATTCGAAATTATAATTAACACTACTCCTACGCTCGAACAGTAGAAACAACATCTTTTAGAACAGTTCAACAGATAAGAACAGACAGAACGATACGGTTAACAATTTTTCATCGAACTACTTTAATCAGGTTAAATTAGTAATCGAAAGATGTTTACCACTTAAAAGCAAAGTATTAAATTCTTAATCAGTACTCGCATCGTTTATAGATCGTTCCGTTTAGTTATCAAATAAAAACATATTTATCGGCTCGAATTCCTCGAATTCCGAGAGCGTATCGAATTAATCGAAACGCGAGGACAAAAAAGCATAAAGTCAGAATCAAGTTAAAATGAAGTCGTTCGACAAAATGCTTCTTTTTCTCTAAGATGCGAATTAATTTCTCGCCAGATTCAACCGAATCGCTTGCCGCTCGTTGCAGAACCGTATTGGAATTTCTTCCTCTACGAACGAAAATACGATTGATCGATGGAATCGATTACTTTCAAATTCGCGAGTCTCGGACTCGAAATCCGTCCAGCGACGTGGAACTCCGGGAAAAATGCGACCGGTAGAAAACTTATGGAACTGTTCGGGCGAACGCCGTTTTTCCAAAGTTCTGTATAAAAGCGATATAAATACGTACAAATAATTATGCTATTGCGAAGCTGTAGAGGATGCATATCATCTCGCCGTTTGGTTCGCAGCTTTCGATGCGTCGGTTTTAAAGTACAGCGACTGCGATCGTTGTCGTACGTTGTCGCTCGTTCGAAAAGTAAAGCCGCGTAATTCAACGACGAAAATTAATGTTTAATCTCACGCTGTCCTTAATGGTCGACTACACGTCTCTACGGGGTCGTAAACTTTTAAAAAATATCCACGAAATCGATGGAAGTTATTGTAGGAAAGGCAACCACTCAGTTTACGTTTCTATCTTTATCTTCGGACCACAGTGATAAATCATTGTCTCGTATATTCGTACGGTTCTAACATGAAACTCTTGATCAATGAAGTTCAGCGACTCATGCTTTGCATTCGCACGCGATACAGTCTGTGTCTTAAATTACGCTACGTCTCGATCACTCGTCGGGACAAACGCAATCCGTCATTCGGGACCAGTTTCTCCGTTGTGTGCCACGAAACAGACACTCTCTCTGTCTTTCGAACGAGTTTTCAGAAATTATTGGTCCGCGGATTTTACGTGATTTTACGATTCAAATGAAACGGACGATGTAGAAAATTGCGATGTCAACAGAGAGATCCAAGAGGATTATTAATTGAAATTACTAAATAACAAAATACATATTTACCTAATTTAGGTTTCTCGCAAGTCACTTATAAAATTATTTTCCATAAAAATCCGCACGCTGATTAGAAAAGTCTGATTGTTGCGTACGACACCTCGATAATGTTAATCAATCATACAGGGTGCCCAAGAATGTTTCGCAATTTGGAAACGAGGGATTCTCGACGTCATTTGAAGCAACTTTTTCCTTAGCGAAAATGCGATCCGCGCCTTCGTTTACGAGTTATCAACGAAAAACAGTGACCAATGAGAGGCGAGCTCGGCTGGCGCGAGGCGGCCGAGCCAACGAGTGCACGAAACCCGGTTCCGCTGATTGGCTCGGCCGTCTCGCGTCAGCTGATCTCGCGCCAGCCGTGCTCGCCTCTCATTGGCCGCTGTTTTTCGTTGATAACTCGTAAACGAAGCCGCGGATCGCATTTTCGCTAAGGAAAAAGTTGCTTGGAATGGTCTCAGGAATCCTGTATCCGGATTACGAGACATTTTTGGGACTGATCTTCTGAAAATACGCACAAATAACAGCGATTCGTCAACGCTACCAAAAAACTGTCTGTAGTTCGCTTTATATTTACACAGAAATGATATTCCCAGTTATCGTCAAGTAGAATAATATTTAGCGGTACGAAGATACGTTTTGGTAATCGAAACGCCAAATAAATGGAACACGCGCTGAAAACTTTCATTAGTATATAAAGCAGTTATCGTGGAGAATTCGAAGACATTCAACACGCGCCTGGTCAGGCTCTTAAGAGGAACAATTCTTCTAATGCACGTATCTAGCTTACAGTACTCTATAGGAAAAAATGCGTTCCTTCACCTTTTTCTTTCACTCTTTGTTTTCTTCATTGCCAAACGTATCCTTCCTCCGGATTTCATATCACAAATATAATACAGCTTTTCATCGCGAGTTATCGCCGACAATCCGATTCATTTACAGACTTCTAGGTTTTTAGCGTTCAACTAATGATAGTCTCCGAGAGGTTGTCGCAGAATTGTTTAAACGATCGATACGCCGACTGTTGTTCTCGTAAACGAAATCTGGATCTGCTGCTTTTTTTCGGCACGCTTACGACGCTAAATTGGCTACCGTTTCGGGAAGAAAACGTCGCAGAGATTCAATGTCTCGAGAAAGAAACGTTCGTTAAAANAAGCAACTTTTTCCTTAGCGAAAATGCGATCCGCGGCTTCGTTTACGAGTTATCAACGAAAAACAGTGACCAATGAGAGGCGAGCTCGGCTGGCGCGAGGCGGCCGAGCCAACGAGTGCACGAAACCCGGTTCCGCTGATTGGCTCGGCCGTCTCGCGTCAGCTGATCTCGCGCCAGCCGTGCTCGCCTCTCATTGGCCGCTGTTTTTCGTTGATAACTCGTAAACGAAGCCGCGGATCGCATTTTCGCTAAGGAAAAAGTTGCTTGGAATGGTCTCAGGAATCCTGTATCCGGATTACGAGACATTTTTGGGACTGATCTTCTGAAAATACGCACAAATAACAGCGATTCGTCAACGCTACCAAAAAACTGTCTGTAGTTCGCTTTATATTTACACAGAAATGATATTCCCAGTTATCGTCAAGTAGAATAATATTTAGCGGTACGAAGATACGTTTTGGTAATCGAAACGCCAAATAAATGGAACACGCGCTGAAAACTTTCATTAGTATATAAAGCAGTTATCGTGGAGAATTCGAAGACATTCAACACGCGCCTGGTCAGGCTCTTAAGAGGAACAATTCTTCTAATGCACGTATCTAGCTTACAGTACTCTATAGGAAAAAATGCGTTCCTTCACCTTTTTCTTTCACTCTTTGTTTTCTTCATTGCCAAACGTATCCTTCCTCCGGATTTCATATCACAAATATAATACAGCTTTTCATCGCGAGTTATCGCCGACAATCCGATTCATTTACAGACTTCTAGGTTTTTAGCGTTCAACTAATGATAGTCTCCGAGAGGTTGTCGCAGAATTGTTTAAACGATCGATACGCCGACTGTTGTTCTCGTAAACGAAATCTGGATCTGCTGCTTTTTTTCGGCACGCTTACGACGCTAAATTGGCTACCGTTTCGGGAAGAAAACGTCGCAGAGATTCAATGTCTCGAGAAAGAAACGTTCGTTAAAACTATATCACACGTTAAGGATCCAATCGCGTAAATATACATATATATTATCTATACTCTTTTTTTATCGCGACGATGTGTGAATATACAAAACATTGTCTAGTTACGCAATTCCGGTCGTTCGCAATAAATAATCGCGAAAGAAAATCGTCGTTAAGCATGTGTTCGGGCGAGTTTATCAAAAGTCGTAAACGCAAGGATCTAGTCGTCGATCTAATACTTAAACTGACAAGAGTACTTCGAGTTATGTATATTTGATTAGCGATAACAATGCGTCGCTACCATGGTTACTTAGCAGTCAACACTAAGCAATCCAGCGCCATTACTTCGAATTTCCTGTTAGAGCGTGCGATCTTTCAATGCCGATGGTACGCCACTATAATTATGTCACTAATGCAACGAAATATAAATAACGAAAAACATGAGACAATGTTGCTAATTGAAAATAACATAAGATCGTTGTATTATATAATATAGTTAATATATTTAATATAGTGTTATAATATTAATATTAATATTATAATATATAATATATAACATTAATATTAATATTATAATATATAATATATAATATTAATATAATTAATATATAATATATTAATATTAATATAATTAATATAAAATATATTAATATAATTAATATATAATATATTAATATTAATATAATTAATATAAAATATATTAATATAATTAATATATAATATATTAATATTAATATAATTAATATAAAATATATTAATATAATTAATATATAATATATTAATATTAATATAATTAATATAAAATATATTAATATAATTAATATATAATATATTAATATTAATATAATTAATATAAAATATATTAATATAATTAATATATAATATATTAATATTAATATAATAATATAATAGGAGCCTCTTGGTCTTAACGATCGTTTGTGATATATTTGGTCCAGGAAACTTTCAATTACACATTTCGATAAAAAATTAAAGAATATTCTAACAACAATAACAACCAAAAACTGTCGTTAAATTTATTCCTCGGAATTAATGGATTCAAATGGATAACAGATCTGAATTACATTAACAAAATCTGATTTACTATATCAACGATACTATTTCGCATTTTTATCAGTGAAAAGATTCTAAAATATCACTAAAAAAAATACTCGTTCTTATATTAAAATATTCGTTCGCTGAACAATATTTTGTGACTTTATATTATCGTATTAATTTGTGATCGAGAAGCTCGCGACTATTCTACATCGCAATTCCCGTAACTTAATTATCCGTAAACAAAATAGTCAAAGCTATGGTACCCGACGAATCGAACGCGTATACAAAATACATAAAAATCTGAAATTCTTCGACGATCTCAAAGGAGCACAGGACTGACATTTAATTACTAATAATTGTGAACACGCGATCAACGTAATATCACGATGAATCGTACGAAAGGAAGACTGTTTTCGGTTTCTATAGTTCGAAATGGGGACCATCAGATACCCACGTGTGACCATTCGCTCGTCTAGTTTCCATGAAATGAAAGCGTAGGAGAGATAACGATCTCCCTCGGTCGCCGCGTATTTCAAAACACGCGAACAACGCGATTCTAACGTGAAAAGAAGAACACGTTCGCCGTAAATTCGTTCTCGTTTGATCGTAGATTATCGCTTAAAAATTCATCCGCGTAAGTAACGAAACAAGAAAACTATTTCAGAAATCAGCGATGGCGTCCGTGCGTTTGGCGACGCCGATGCCGAAAGTAATGGCGCCGGAAGACCGGCCTCCGGTCTCCGAAGACAGTGACACCTCGTACAGTATATCCTATCGTACTTTCATTAAAGCGACTTACGTTCGTCTGAAAGACCATCTATATTATCAAAACCCGTGATTGACACACGTAATAACACTGACTATATAACCTGTTATAATCACTGGAAGAACCGAAACGTTTCGAAAGCTTCTAAAAATGGAAATCCGAACTTTCACCGATGATGATTTGTCACGTTCTCGTCTCCTAGTTCGCCGAAGCAAAACACCGATTCGTCCGTCATCCGTCGCTCGATCGGTGCAATGAACTTTCCGGCGGGCATCCCCGCGGCTCCCTATTATCCGAACGGTGTCGAACGGTACGAAATGAATTTATCGAAGGGTGTTCTTCGTATCGTGCAAATATCCGTTGTTTAAAAAAGAAAGAAAGAAATTCGTTCGGCTCGCGCGCAACAACGCGGAGCCTCGACGATGGAAGCAGCTTCTGGGAACGCGATTTCGCAGCGGAGAGACGCACGCGACCCGTTCTAGGAGACGACGCCGTTCGGCGGCGGCGGCCGAGCGACCATAATTAATCATCCACCGCGAATCCTTGCTACAACGAGATCAAGTACTACGCGCTCGTTTCTTGCGTCTCGGCGCATTCCGTCGGCTTCAGCTCGAGCCACCAGTCGTACGGGTAATGATATTTCTGCAGCTCGATACCCTCCCTTGGTACGGGCATTAATCGGCCGCCGAACTGTTTCGCCGGTAAGGGAGGTATGACGAGCTGCGGCGGGAAGCATTGCAGGCTCGGCGAGAACTCGCAGTCCGGTGGCAGCACCCTCCTTGTCCAGCCCACTCGCCTCACCATTTGCGTCTGAAAAGCGAAAGCAATCCCTGGTGAAATCTGCCGAAACGTTTGCCTCCGGGTCGCCAACCCCCTTTCACCGACGTTTCTTTCGCGCGGCTACGTTCAACCACGGCTCTTTCAAATGTTCTTTTCAATATGTTGTTTGAAATGTTTCAGCAGTATGTGACCCGGTTCGCATGCAGATTCCATTTGCAGCGCCAGCGACGTGCGCTATTTAGGAATTGAAGATAGTTTGCGCTGTTCCGAGAACGAAAAGATTTTTGTAATAATGTTTTTCACGTTT